CCCTGGAACTGCTCCTTGCTTGAGCTCTGGAGAACCTGCTGGACTTGCCTCAGAGCTTGTCAAATGTCCACTCCGCCAGTCTGCAGTGGGGGGGATTCCTGTTACCCAGAAACCCCATGCCATACCTCCTCGGTCCCAACGCCACCAACTGTAGAGGGCACACTTGGCCGGTTGCATTTCCTCGTATCCTGTTGCTAATTAATTGAACCAGAACACTGGCCTGGGTTGGAGAAGCAAGATCAAGTTACCTTGTGTCCTCAAGCTGGGAGAGCAGAGGGGAGTAGTCAGCACCTCCATCCTCCCCTTTGGACTCCAGGAGGAAGGAGGAGGTGGCACCAGGTCCTCTGGCTTCCCTCCGCTCAGGCACTCGCTCTCTGAGAAAGGCACTGTAGGCGCAGTGCACGTGGCCCTTGTCAACAGGTGTGAGTGCCAGTCAATGCGTAAGGCAGTTGATGAGTCAAAAATATGTCAAGCCTGGATTTCTCATGATAGTGAATATTTTTTAAAAGTTCTGGTTGTTTTGCTAAGTTTTATATTTCTGGAATAACCCAGACCACCTGTGCAGCCCAGTTTAGGTGGGTTGGTATGAATGGGGCGTGACCTGAAGCCTGACCCCATGGTTGGTGTTCTTGAGAAAAAGTGGACAGCTGTATGACAAGGTTGAGTGACAGGAGACCCAGGAGAATTTCATTGAGGACTGAGGTCCTCAAAAGAGGGGTTCAGGCAGGCAGGGAAGTCTTCCCTGGAGATCGCGCTCTGGGTGGGCAGGGCAGAGTGGAAAGCAGAGAGTAGACATGCAGAAGGGAGCCTCAGGTTACACCGAAACGGCAAATGAAGGCAAGTCTGAAGGTGTTGGCGGCACTGCTGTCGGTCTGGCCTGGCGTGTGCTGTCCTGAGCGCACACTGGCATTGGGGGTTCCCAAAGCCAGCTTGTGTTTCTGGAGCCACTAGTCTCAGTTCCAACTAAATTTCTGGACAGATTGACTTGCAAGCAGACTAGCATGCGCCAAGCCAGCCCCCAGTTGCAGTAGAGTTCGTGATTGATAGCAGAGGGTTCCAGCTCCCATTGCCAAGTCAGGAGTGCTTCTGACTGTGCCCAGGTGGCCTTGTTCTCACATCCCAAGGTGGCCACTGGAGCATTTTATCCCGATGGTTATGGCCACTGCGAGGGCATCTTGGAAATGTGCTCCTCTAGTTGGGAAGCTGCATGGCAGGCTCAAAGCCAGGGTTTTTAGAAAGCAGAAGGGGAGAGGCTGCTGGGAGACAAGCAGCCATCTGTACAGATTTGTCAGAAATACAAGGAATTGGAAGGAATACTTTCAGCTTTTCTGGGTCTTAAGGCTGATAATTTAAGTCCAGCCATGCCAGGCATGAAGTCCGATAAGCCTCCAACCCTGGGAAGGGCAAGAAAGTCAGTACTTACAACACCAAGCAGACCATCTTCTCTTGTCAGGACTTGTGAAACCAAGCAGACGATCTCTTTTGTGTGTCTGTGGCAAAACTGCCAGTTAAACAAAGACAGGGTTGGGGAGAAAAGGGGGTGTCCAGAGGCTGTGAGTGGACCCCAGCAGAAGGTGCCTAGTCAGACTTGGAACCTGGATTTTTGTCCAATTCACATGTGAAAAGCAACCTGCAACAATACCAAAAAAAAGCCTCACTTCTCCAAGCTGAAAAGATGCCTCTGCTCGGTGGAAATCTCAGAGCCAGAAAGGTGACTTCTTGCCAGTCAAAAACTGTTCCCCTCCGTTACCTGTGGGAAAGGAAATTAACTCAGAATCCATGTGAGTACAACAGGCAGCTCCAAATAGAAATGCAGAATAAGGTAACCTTCCAGGCTGCTCCACCCATCAGCTCCTGCTAAGCAAGCAGGTTCCACACGCTGGAAGTCTAGAATGTTCTGAGAAGCCAAAAAGCAGTGAAAGGAGACTAGGACTTGGAACAAGGTGGTCTCACTGGTGGCCCTGAGCTAGGGTGCTCCCCTCTCAGCCTCAGTCCCCCTGATCCAGGGGGTAGTGATGGGTTCATGCAGGACAAATAACAGTGGCAATGAAGTCCTGCTGCCTCAGGTCTCCCATGAACTTTTTTTTTTACACCACTTAAAAAAAAATTTTGTTTCAGCTTACATAAGTAATACATGTTCACTGTTGAACATTTTGGAAAATAAAGTATAAAGAAGGAAATCACCTGTTATCCCACCACCCACAGCTTGACTACTGTTCTCCGGGATTTTTCCATACATGTTCTGTGTGGGATCTCAGAGTACAAGCTGTTTTGTAACCTGCTTTTATACCTCAACTTTTTAAAGCATATCACATTTCCCCGAGTCTTTCACATTGTGTGGATGCCTGCCTGGCGCCTCATTGAGGGCTGTGCCCTGTTTTTTTTAACCAACCCTGTATTGTTGCAATCCTGACCAGTTCTCCCCTATTCTAAGTAATTATAGCTCTTCATTATTTCTGTAGGACACACAGGGATAGGGACAATTTGGGCCCCCAGGGAACATTTGGCAAAGTTGAGCCATTTTCTGTTGTTCAGAGAGGAGTGGGTAGGTAAAGCAGTGCTGCTAGAGGCCAGGATACAGTGTCCAGGGTGAGCCCCCCCCCCCAGAGTCACCCTGCCTGGAGGCGGTGGAGCTGCAATTTAGAAATCCTGCTGTGGGGTCATGTCCTAGCCAGGCCACAGCTGAGTTACAGATGTGAATGCTGTCTGGGCTGCTGACTGGTGTAGTCCACCCAAGGCAGTGAATCAAGAAAAGCGTGTTCCCTTGGTACAGTCATGCAGTAGGGCGTTTCTTAGACTTCCCATGTTTGTTATCTGAAGGAAAATTAAACTCACCTTGCTTGAAGGTCTCTGGAATCCAGAAGAAAGTGGGAGGTGGTACAGACTCTGGTCAGTAAGTCTAGGCACCCAGGAAGTGAGTGTACAGTAAGCCCTCCCTGTCCCAAAGAGTGAGCACAGCTTTCAAGAGTGTGCAACACAACGAGATAGACGGGAAGGAAGAGTGAGGTGAAGGCAGTTACGGGCAGAAAACATGACCAGAGAGCAGCAGTGGATTCAAAACAGGTGTAGGTCCTGGCCCCTGGAAGGCGCTGCCCACGGTCACTGCAGAGTGTGCTTGCTTGACCAGGTTCCTGAGGGGCTCAGGTGCTGTGCATGCAGTCCACTGAGCAAGGACAGTGGAGCCAGGCCTTTGAGGAGCCAGGGGAGGGCACTTTCCGACCTCAAAAGAAGACCGGAGCTGGGCCCTCCTGGATGACGTGTCTAGAGGCCTCCGCAGGGTGACAAGGTTTCAGTTCATTTGGCATGACCTTAGATAGTGTGCCATTCTGACAGTCCAGACGTTGGAAAGCAGGGGCCTCCTGACCAGGGACCCTCATGTGCCTGCTCACACCTCAGTAGGGTAGGGACAGTTGCCCATCCAGCCTGTGCCCCAAGGCTTGGTCCAAGGTGGGGTAAAGGGCCTTTGGCAGGAGGGAGTATGGGCCAAAGCCCCAGGGTGAGTGCAGACAGGCCAGGAACCCCACTGGCCCGTGTGCTGTCTCTGCAACCTCAATGGTAATGACACAGCAAGATCAGACTGCTCCAGGTCTAGCCAGGAAAGGCTTCCCCCAGCTCCTGCTGTCCCAAAGGGTCACCTTCCTGTTTGCCCCCTCCCACTACTGGCCAGAGGATACTGAAGCTGAAGAGGGGGAGCCCTGCCTGATGCATGCCCCAGCTGGACCCAAAAGATGGGTGCAGAGACCCCTTCCCCACCAGCCTTGTGCACCTGGAGGCCTGCCCATATCATGCCCAGCCCACCCAGGTATCCACTCACCCAACTGCTGGGCCCGTGCCCCTCCTCGGGCAAGGCTCCTGAGAGCTCTCAGCCTGGACACACCTGAATGGGTCCCTCAGACCCAGCCCTGCCATGGAGGCAAATGCCAGGATGCACCTGCTTCCACCGTACTGCCGTGCCCCAACCTCCTTGTCCTGGGCCCCTGTCTGGTTTGACAAGCTGCCCCTGGACATGAAAGTCCACAACCTTTAGTGGACGCTATTGTCCAGCCCAGGATGCTAAAGGCATGGAGGCCATGCCTGGCTTCTCCCTGTTGCTGGGTAACCTCAGAAAGGTAAGGCTTGCCCAACGGAAGCGAGAGGAGTTGGGGTGCCCCAGACCCTGGTAGGGTGGAGAGTGGGAGGATACAGGCAGCCCTGACTGGCAGGAGACAATGCTCAGGAGCTGGAGAAGGAAGCTCAGAGCAGACGCCTCACTGGCCAACCGCCTGTCTCCCATCCACTCCCCAAACCCTGGTGGAGCCCCTCAGAGGACCCACTACGGTGAGATGGGAGCGAGACCAGTCGGGGACAGCAGCAGCTAGGGAAACCAAGGATACCACCTTAATGGCTCCACCCCACTCATGCCCAGGAGGGGACCTACCGCCAGAGTCCAAGGGGCTGGGATACCTGAGGGTCCTAGAGAGGAGACTGCAAAGAGGAGGTCCAAAGGGGCCCCAGGATTTCCTATAAAGGACTGTCCAGCCTAAGTGGGAGCTGGGAGGAAATTGAGGGTTGAGAAGGTCATTTTGCAGCTTGAGTAGGTGGAGAGGCAGCAGGGAGGGACTGGGCTATGGAGGGTTTTAGGGGGTGAGACAGGAAAGGTATCCACACCCCCACCCTCCTCCACACATCCACACCTCCCCCATGTTGCAGGACAGGGCTGAGCAAAGTGCCAGGCTCCATCCAGGCTGTGATGCTTTTAGAGGCCTGAATTGGGTCTCTGTCTCCCGAGATCTCCTCCTCCTGGTCCCTCCCCATCAGCCCACCCCAGGCCTGCCAAAGCCAAACAGACAGGATGGCAAAGGGCTAGGACTGGGTGGGCACAGCAGGGGGACTGCCTCCGGACCACTGTCCTGTCTTACAGAAAGTGAAGCAGTCATGGCATACCCAGGACTCAGGTTCCCCATAGCCTGGCTGGTCGGCCCCAAGGCTGTCCTGGAAAGGGGAAACACCACTCACTCAGGGCAGGCTAAAACCCTAGTTTATTTCAGCATCAGCAATATCTTAGCCATCACAAAAATAAACTCTACCAAGGGTGACAGAAGTCTCTACAGCGAGGCTGAGGGCTCAGCTGCCAGGCAGCAGACATCAGGGGTGCATGGTGGGCATCTCCCAGGCAATAAGTTAGGAAGCATTAGGGCTGGTGGTGTGGCCGAGTGTGGGCCAGGTCTTCACTTCTGAGCAGGCATGAGGTCATCAATGCCCTGACCCTGTTCCAGCCGCTGCTCCATCTCAATGAGCAGCTTCACACCGTCCACCACCATCTGCACCAGTTCCACCTCCGAGAAGCCCAAGCGGTCTGCATTGGAGATGTCGAAGACCCCGCCCACGGCAGCTGTGTCCACACCGCCTGGGGAGACAGCCAGGTCAGAAAGGGCTGGGCAGGGGCTGCCCCAGGGGGAGAAGACTACCTGCTGCCCCCACTCAACTCACCTGTGCCTCGCTTCTGAAGTCGCAGCCGCTTGAGTGCCTCCGGGAACTTCTCGTGCTTGCCCAGGTGGGGCAGCTTGATGTGCACACCCGCCCTCAGCCCTGTGCCCAGGTTGGATGGGCAGGTGAGGATGTAGCCCAGGTGAGGGTTCCACATGAACTCGTAGTTCTTAGACTTGAAGAGTGTTTCAATCTGGAGGTGAAGGTATGAGGGGGAGGCCTGAATGAGTGCCCCTCTCCCAAGGGGCCAGCTGGGGCCTGGGAGCCCCCTGGCAGGGCCCTGTGGTGACAGACCTGGGCTCCCTGGGAGGGAATGACAGGCACCCATATCCCTGAGTTCTGGGGCCTCGCCCTGTCCCACCCCTGGCACCAAGCCCAACCCTGCCAGCCCAGGTTGGGGGTGACCAGGGCCTGACCTGGGTGAGGCCATTGCAGAAGCGGGTGAACACCTCCTTCATGTTGCCCCCCTTCTGCATAGAGATGACCCGTAGGTGGTCCTCCTCATTGATCCACACCAGGAAGGTCTTATTGTCATTGTGCCTGGGGAAGGGGCACAGTCAAGCCTTCTCCCTGAAATGTGGTCTCAGGGCACATCTAGGGGAAAAAACTCCAGAGGGTCCCCAGGCACAATGAGGGCAGGACAAGGAGACCTGGACACCGGAGTAGGCAGTGCCCTGAGCTGTGCCCCAGCCTCCCAGTCCTGTGCAGTGTGGCCCGGTGTGGGGGAGGGGAGGGGTCCCCACCAAGGAGGGAAGGATCAGGGGCAACTAGGAGAGTGTCTCCCTCACTCCCTCACAGGCAACAGGGACAGGAGGCTACCTACACCCCACCCCACCCCAAGGAAGCATCTGCGTCATCGGCACCAAGCAGAGTCCCCATGGGAAGCACGTGAGAAAGCGCAAACAAGAAGCTCCAGCTCCCAGGACGGGAGAGGAGCCACCATCCCGCGAGAGCGGCCTCCACCCGCCAAAGCCCCACCGCAAGGTCACCTGCCCGGAGTTGGAGGGGTACCAATCCTGTCCCAGGAACCGGCCCCTCCCCTCTTCTTCCTCGGCCTCAGGGGGAGGGGAGAGGGAGGGGCACCCACCAGATGCCCCGGGCATCGGGCCAATCGCGGGCCATGCCCGAGGCCAGCAGCAGGGGCGACACGGGCTTGTCGAAGAGGAAGTGGTCGTCGATAAGCTGCTGCTGCTCCGCCTCGGTCATGCTCTTGAGAGCGTAGTACCTGCCGGCTAGGTCGCCGTCCAGGCTGGATAGGGCTGCGGGGGGCGCGCTCAGGACTCGCGGTCGGCCGTGCCCCGCACCCCCCATCGTGGCGCAGCCCCCAACCCCTACGCCCGCCCAGCTTCTAGGGAAAAGTCCACAAGGACCCGGCGGCCATCCGATGCGGTGACCCAGGCCGCGTAGGTGCGGTACGGACCCGCCCTCCGGGAAACCGGACCCGCACGCAGATAAGAGCGTACGGCTGCGGTGGTGGCTCGGGTGACTGGTAAACTCGGACGGGGTCGTGGAATGGGGACGGGGAGGGGCGCCCGGCCGGCCCGACCCCTACCTTCCACAGCGAGCTTCTCGATGGCGCGGCGCTCCCCGCGGCTGCAGTGCGGAGGGAGGCAGAAGCCGCGGATGCTGCGGCCGGTGCGCACCCGCGAGCTCAGCACGTAGTTGGGGTCCAGGTCGTCACCGCCCTGGGGGCCGAGCGGGGATGAGCGCCGGGAGACCCCTCCCCAGCCCGTCCTGCCGCCCTGGGCCGCCGCGCACCTGCAGGTTGTCAGGATTGAGGTCGGTTTTGTGTTCGTCGCAGGGCTTGTAGCCGCCGTGCCTGTCCTCGATAATGGGGTCAAAGAGCTCCTTGAACACGTCGTACGAGTCCTCGTCGCCTGCCACGCAGCCCACGGTCAGGATATAGGGATGGCCTGGGGGCGCGGAATGGGGACAGTGACGTCACCTCCAGGTCTAAGCCAGCAGTTTAGGACCCTGCGGCGGCGCCTGGGAAGGGGGCGCCGGGACTACAGCCCCAAGGTGGGTGTCGGTACGCTTTTCCCTTGCACCGCGGGTGACTTTCACATAAGGCGCCGGCACCCTGACCCCGGGACTGGGGGCGCGTACCTGGGTTGTCCACTCCAGTCTGTATGGCGTCGTCCACCGTGAAGCCGCTCGGCGTGCTCTTGGCGCGCAGCTCCGCGTACAGCTCGGGGGTCAGCACTTTGGCCATGTGGTTGTTGTGACCGCTCAGGTCGGGGAACTCGTCCTCGGCGGGGAAGCGCAGCTTCAGCGCGTTGTGGCTGTTGGAGAAAGGCATGGCGGCGGCGCGCTGCGGAAAGACGCGGGGATCAGCGGAGACCCAGTGCAGCGGGCCTCCCGGGCCCTGCAAACTACCGAGGGCCCGGGCCCCGGTCACCCCGACAGGCCAAGGTCAGCAAGGTCCGCCGCGGCCCAGAGGGGTGCCTGCACCTCCCAGGACCCTCTGCCCAGCTAGCGCGCGCGCTTCAGGCAGCGGGCCCCCCGTACCCCAAATGCGTGACGCCACCGTCCCCGCGCCCCCTCCCTGCTCAGAGTCCCCGCCCCAGCGCCCAGCGCGGCGGGGCACCTGCCCTCGGGCCCACTCACCGGGCGGCCGGACAGGAGCGGGATAGCTAGGTTATTCGGCAGCTCCGGCGCGGCGCAGGCGAACAGCGGCCGCTCCGAGCTCCCGTGGCTCTTAAGGGGCGCTACGCGGGCCGCCCATTGGCCGCTATTTATAGCCCATTCATTCCATTGGCCCATGCTACGGGGTGGTGTTCTCCGCTTTGTCCGTCGCCGGCAGCCCCCGACAGCCCCCTCCCCCACCACCCCCCGGCCGCCCACCCTGGCTGTTCCCTCGCCGGGACCCCGCGCAGCCTGTCTATCCAGCCCGAGGCCTTCCTGGGATCCCGAAACCGGAACCTAAGATCTCTGAACATCCTGGAGTCCCCCTATCCCCCACCTCCGGGCGGGAAACTGAGGCAGGAGAGCCACCGGGCACTTGAGGACAGTCGGGTTCATCTGCACCCCTGCCTTTCAGCGTAAGGCCAGTCTCCACGGTGGTCGTGGCTAGGGGCCAGGCGAGGGCGTCCCGGGCTTCTGCAGCAGATACTGCCTGCCCCCTCACCCCGCCCCGTTTGAGCTGGCCCCGGGCCGCCGACCTTCCTCAAGGTGCCCGCAGGCATCTCCCGGGTGATCGTGGTGCAGAGCGAGGGCGCGCGGGAGGCGCAGTCTGGCTGCGGCCCAGTCTGGCGGCACCCCGCGATTCCTCGACCTTGGGCAAGTCCCTGGGCTCTGGGGGATTCGAGCCAAGACCCCCAGGCCCAGCCCCTCCTGGAAGATGCGGGAACACTGTGGCCCCGAGGGGCGCTGGGGGACTGCACAGTATCAGAGTATCCAGATCCCAGCCCTGCATCTTCTCCGCAGGGCACAGGTTCGCTCCGACCCGCATCCTCAAAAGGCAGTCCCCAGACACCCTCGGCAAAGACGGGAGGAAACGCTAACAATAAGTATCTGTGAGACCTTTTTTTTTTAAAGCAACTTACTAAAATCGGAATCATGCAAATTAAAACAACAATGAAAATACATTCCACTGCCTCCCATCGCACCCAGATTGGCAAAAGTGCAAAAGATGTTAAAGACTGACACCAGCCAGTGTTGGCTATGGGTTGGAATGTGCTACATCCTTTTTGGAAAGTAATTTGGCAATATCTATTAAAATTAAAAATGTTTGTACTCCATGACCCAGCAGTCCCACTTCTAGGAATCCGGTCTATAGAAAGGACTGTCGTTTGTAGTTTGTAGAGAGATGTGTAGTCTGTAAAACCACGCAAACAAGCCTGGATATAACTCGATGCCCATCAGTTGGGGACTGGTAGGGGCAGGAATACGTCCCCAGTGTGGAATAGTGCAGCTATTAAAAAGAGTGAGTTGGAACTTGTGTGGTTAATATCCATCACATGTTGTTTCCTAAATAAAGCAAGAAAAAGAGGAAACTCTTATCTATGTGCATATTTCAACAAAACCCTCCAGGACTGCACAGTGAGCTCCATGGGCAACAAGATGAATATTGCGCTGCTGAAGGGAAGCCTGGCGGGGGGGCACATGGCAAGCGGACTGCCACCAGAGATGGGCGCCCTGGGGACAGGGGCCCAGGGAGGAATTCCAGTGTGTCTGCTTCCGAAGGCACTGGAGCAGACCCAAAGAACTGGCAAGTCTGCTCACCTCCGCTTCGGTGCACGTCAAAGGGCGTGGAGCTTGCCTGGCGGTCCTTGTGGTCACTCCTGAAAGGATTCCTGCCTCTTGGCTTGCTCTCCTGGGCGTGCTTCGACCTGTTCACAGTCAACGTTTTCTCAGACCCATAAAACAAACTGAGGTAAAAAGGCAAATACCCAGGCTGGCCAGACAGCAGGTGTCCCTTAAGCCTGGAATGCCTGCACTCTGTCCCCTGCAGCCTGTCCCCAGTTTTAGAACTATCTACAGTGGCCCTCCCCTCCCCCAAAGGCCCGATGGGCTCAGGTTTCGGTTTCTAGAGAGTTGCTAGCCCTGGAGGCCCACTTGGCTTTCAGACCCCAAGAGGTGGGGTGGAGGCAAGCTGGGCTTCCTCTTTATCTTCAGACTCTGCAGCCTCTCAGAAGGCTGTCCCTCCCCCACTCTCAGGCAACCAAGGTCCTGACCCTCTGTTGGAGGTGGGCGAAGGGAAGGACCCCTGCTCCTCTCTCCCTCCATAAGCAAGGTCCACACTGGTAAGGAGAGGTTCAGAGGCTTGGGGCTGCTTTGGGCTGCCTTGCCCAGGGACAGGGCCTGGTAATGCTCCTGCCTGGGACTCCAGCAATCTTCAGACTTCAGATGTGATTTTCCCCATTTTGCAGATAAGCAAAAAGATGAGAAGGTGGGTGACAGAGAGTCCAGGTGAGATGCCCAGCAATCTCTCAGTGATCCTGGAGTGCCTGGCCCTGGGTTTAACCTGATTCAGGGTCCACCCTGGGGACCCCCAGTAAGCCAAACCTAGGCTGGACTCATACTGACAATTCAAGGGGTCAACAGCTGTGATGGGGAAATGGAAAGGGGCTCTGAGGACCTTATGGCCAAATATCAGAGTAAGGCCCCTTACTAGGCAGGGACTGCTTGGGATCCCGTATGGTCCCCGAGCACAAGAGCAAGGCTGGCAGAGGCCCTGGAGAGTGCTGCCCCCAGCTGACGGGGCCCTGTCTGTGGACCCTCCACTTTCCCCAGGGCCCACAGGAGCTGGTTTGTTGGCGTCTGGGCCAGAAGCCAAGTGACATCATCCAGCCAGTTTATGGCCCAGGTGCCTCAGAAATCACACCTGGTCACACATTAACCATTCAGCCCTGGAGGGGGAGGAGAGACTCAAAGAAGTCCTAGGACTTTCATCCACAGAACACAGCCCCACTGAGTAGGAAGGGCACAGGGCCCCAGGCAAGCTCTATGCTGGGCAGGCAGAGGTAGGCCAGGTGGGAAGGCAGGGCCAGACTCCAGGCAGGAGACTAGAGGCCATCCTTGGAGTCTGTGCTCAGGATGCAGCCAGAGCAGGCATGCTTCCCCCTGGTGCTGTGTCCCTGAGCTCTGCAGACCCCAAAGAGGAAGTTGGTCAGTCAGGAGAGGAGCAGGCACTGCCTTAGAGTCATAGGGCACAACGGGGTAGGAAGTTGGGCTGGTCAGTGAGAAGGGAACCTCAGGTCACCTGATCCCTGCCAGGGATGTGGGCAGAGTCAGCCTCCCCCAGTAGGCATCCTCAGTTTCTCCCTCTACTCAGGGTGACCCTGACCCTTTTTCCCAGGGTCTCCTTCCTGCCTGTTCACCATCTTTCTTTAAGTCTGCCATTGGTTCCCTGAAGCCAGGTTTACTGGCTTTAAATCCCAATCCCACTTTGGCCTCATTAGCTGTGTGGCCTTAGCCAAGTTATTTAACCTCTCTGAGTGTGAGTTTCCTTGGTTGTAAAGTGGTCCCTCCCTCATAGGACTGGGAAGAGGATTCAATGTGATGACAGTTAGCTGGGCTTATATAGCATCAGTTCTTGTTAGGGAAACCCTATCATACCAGTTGCCCTGGGCAAGCCATCCACCTGACCTGGGTAATCAGTTGGGGGTGACCTGGGGGAGGCCTATGCTGAGGACTCAGGCTGAAGGCTGGAGCAGGCTCAGCTAGAGCAGATGGGCAGCTCTGGGAAGTCTGCCTGGAGAAGAGGGCACTGGAAGATCTGGCCAGCCAGTCATGGGCAGAGAGACAAGTGGGAAGTCAGACCACAGGAAACCAGCACCAAGTCACTGAGTCCTAATTTAGGCTCTTGGAAGGCACCCAGCCTCAGCTTCACACTACAGCTGAGAGGCTAGGGAAGAGGAACCCCAGGAGAAGTGGAAAGTCTCCCAGGGGAGCAATTAGGGGATGATTCACCAAGGGAGTGAAGCAGAGACCCCTGGAACAGAGGTTGGCAGGCTGTGGATGGAGCTGTTTTGTCCGAATGTTGACAAGCAGGAGGCAGGGAGGCCATGATGAACTACATAGGCAGCTGGTGGCCAGAGCACTGGCCTCACAGGAACATGAACCCACAGAGAGCGGGAAGCTACCAACGGCCCCTCACCTTCTTACCTCTGGGGCTCCCAGACCTAGGCACAGCCAGGGTAGGGGCATTGAGGGGCTGAGCTTAGGCACCTGGGTTTCCAGCATGGACTTGGACTCTGAGGGGTCCCTGACAAGGGCCAGTCACTCTGGCCAGTCCTGGCCCCACAGGAGGGAGAGTTAAGAGTTCCCCATAAACTGGCAGGCTCTAGGATGGGGCTAGCTCTGCAGGGACCTGGCCACTTCCACTCTGCCAGGCTGGAGCAACCAGGGCCTGGGGGGTGTTAGCTGGCCTTGGGTTAGATCCCAGGCTAAGACCCAGGGTCGCTAGGTTCCTGGGATGGTGTGTGTCTATCTCCTCCAGCCCCCAGGGCTGACAGGGACACGCCATGGCTGCAGGGGGCGGAGTGCATGAGGAAGACAGTCTTTGTCCTCTGTCCCCGTCCCTTCTCCACAAAGGAACTGGCTCTGATTCAGCTCTGCTGAGACAGAATAAAGCTGCTGCTTCCCTTTTCTGTCCCTGCCTTCCAGCTGCCCCGCCCCCAGGCCCCTGCTCAGGCCTCTTGACCTGTTCTCACCAACCCCAAAGTAGGCCCAGTTCATCCAGCTCTCATTGTGTACTGGGTCCCAGGAGCGGACACATAACTGCCTCCCTCCTGGAAACAGAGAACGTGCCCCTGCAGGGGAGGCAGGGCCTAGGCCCTTGGACAGACCCTTCCAGACCATTTCCTGCGTCTCTGGGCTGAGGCCGGCCGAAGCCTCCTGGGACGACCCTCTGACCTGCGATTCCATTTTCTGGAATACATCCTGGAGCCCAGTCAGGGGCGTTCCCAGGAGAGTTTGCAGTGACAAAGCGTTCGTGGCAAAGTGTCCTGGGCTACTGGCCGTGGGCCGGCCATCCCAGGGACTCCAGAGCTGTCAAAAAGGGTGCGTTACGGAGCCCTGGCTTGTCCGCTCCCGCGGCAGCGTGGCCGGGGGAACGCTGGCACTTCTAGCCAGTCTTTTGCTAGTTTCTGTAAACAAGGAGGGAGCCGAGCGCGCCGAGCGTGGGAGGGGCAGCCCGCGGGTCCCGGGATCCCGCGCGCCGGGGCGGGGCGCCGTGACGTCATCGGCCGGCGCCTCGAGGGTCGGAGCCGGAAGCGCCGTGGCCGCTGTCGCGG